CCCGGGGAAGTTGATACTGGAAGGTGGAAGGTGTTGCATGAGTATGCATTAAGGTAAACAGCCTTATGTCTGTAGGACCACTTTAAACAGTGCTAGGTACCCTTCAGGATCCCTCCTTTATCAGTCAGGTACACTCTTTATTCAATGGTACCAGCCCTGATGAAGGGGGACCCTTTGTATTTCTATGATATAAGATCAGAAATTAGAATTAGTGCCCGGGTGAATCAAAACAGAGACACAAAGTCAGAGAGATCCCTCCCCCTACCTCCTCTGCCTCCAGGAAGTCAGGTGCTGCCTGCCTATTTGCTGATTGGTGAATACTGAGTGAGAGGGCATGACTACCCAAGGGATGCCAGTCCATCTTGAGCCAATCAGTTGTGGGAGCATGTGGAGAGGTAGATGTGGGTGCAGCTTTGTTGTCTGAACAGCGGACCCGTCACAAGGACCACACAGCCTGGAGTGTGAAGAGTGGCTGTTGTAGACTCAACCGAAGCAAAGAAGAGCAGGGGGACAGACTGTCATGGAGACACAGAGCCAAGTGGAGAGAACCCAGTCAGAGGAGAGAGATCTGGAGCTAGTGTGCTGGAGGCCAGAGCGAGTCTGAGTCTAAGTGGTTACCTGGAGCAGACTGTGCTGGCCAGAGACATATCAAGCATCACCTGGAGCAATCAATAGAGGCCAGCAGAGCCAGCCTGAGTGGGCAAAAAAAAAACCCAGCCAGAGCCAGAGGTAAATAATTTGCTGACCTGACACAGTCCTCTACCATGTCATCTTCATCCTGCACACAGCCATCTCCATCCTGCACACAGTCATCTCCATCCTGCACACCACATTCTGCACTATGTAAGTCATCTCAGACTCTATTTAACCACACGGCTTTAACCTCCCTAGCGGTATTCCCGAGTGTAGCTCGGGGTAAAATGTCAGTACCAAAAGCGGTAACCCCGAGCTACACTCGGGGTTACCATGCGGCGCTGCATAGGGATTCCCTGCAGAGCTTACCTTGTCCTGCGCTCCCGCAATGTGTCCCCTGCAGCGTCCCCGGCCACCTCCTCCAGCCGATGCCGGCATCCGGCTTCTGTGTGTTCCAGTCCCTGTGACGTCGGGACGTACGGGCGCCACCGCCGGTGGGAAATTTGATTTTACATAGTAAAACATTGCTGTTTCAACCCATTTCACATACATTTTGTCCCTAGTGCTTTGTCCTGTGTCCTGCCTGCATTTTGACTGTTCTTTCTGCCTGGAAACTGAGAAAAGTCCATGTCGTCCAAAAAGTGTCCCTTTAGGTCAAAAGCGGTTTTTAGACCAGCTAGAGAACAGCGATAGTAAATCAGACCTACTTGCAGAATTGAGTGATAATGATTCGTGGGGAAATTCGTCATCAGACACTGAAAATGATTTTGTGACTTTGCTCAGCGATGTGCGAACTTGGCGCTATATTTCAAATTTCAGTGTTTTTGGTTTGATTATATTATTGAAATAAATGTATTATTATATATATTATTATTTTTTATGATTATTTATTAAATTATAATTTATGATTTCGTGTTTCAAATTTTATCATACCGAGGATGTTTACTAGACTCTTGTTCGGACAGAATTCAGTGAGTTATTCCTAAAAATTACAGGCCTACAATAAAAAAATACATATTTCCATGCAAAATAATGGTACCGCTTTCAGCACCAAAAATCTGAAATAATCATACCGCTAGGGAGGTTAAGGGAAGCCCAATATTTAGTGTAATTTAAACCACACCCACTTTTTGCCACACCACACGACACAAGCCGCATTTGTATTTTTCTTGCTTCTTGTAGAACATCACTTCCTCCAGTATTTGATCTTGCATAGGGCACAAAATAGTCTAGCACTGGCCCTGAATACACAGCCTCACTGTTCTTCCTCTAGTGAACCTCATTATTGCAATTGAAGATGGCAGGATAGATCAGGCTGGCACTTACTGGAGAATCTAAATGAAAAACCTTTAAATCTCACAAAAGAAACCCAGAATCTCAAGCTCTATGTAGAATTAAATGAAAAACCTTTAAACCTCACAAAAGAATCCCAAACTCTCAAGCTCTAAGGCACCACTTCCTCTAACTGCTAGTCATAGGAGATTTGGACACCAGGGGAAGTAGGGTCAGATATCCTAAAGTTCCTGTCAAACAGTTTTACACATCAACTCATCTGTTAATGAACACCATCACAGGGCAGACAATAAACATCAATAGATAATCCTCACTGCTGCAAGGAAGGGAGAGTGGGGTTGCACAGGGAGCTGGTGTAATGCATAATAAGTGTCCACTACATAAATAGGTACTATATGCAATTAGGCATAGCATCAAAAAGATATTTGATGGCTTCCTGAGTAAAGTTTTTCCAGGTCTGAATAAAATGGGCACTAATTTTGTATCTTGCAGTAGTGGCTTTGTTAGTCACAGTCCAAATGTGTTAAACCATCGACAAATCAGGAGGCCTGGCTTAAAGGTATTTCTCATTGTCTCAGTCGTGAGATCAAGAAATATCTTGCTGAGATGATTGAAGTTCTCTTTCACAAGACCAATGTTTGTGAGTAAAAATAAACCTGTACTTTCTCCATACAAGACAAAGTAGCAGGTTTGTTTAAAGTGACCCAAAAGTAAAATAACCCCATCCTGTATAAGATTATCTGTACCTATACTTATTCAACGCCCACGTATTGAAACTCCATATGTTGCTGATTTAAGGCCACTACAGGTTTTCAGCAGTTTGGGTGTGTTGAATAACTTCTACCCGATTATGCACTAAGGTTCGTCCCACCAGCTCATAAGTACTGTAGTAACCTATGAACCAGTGGGAGAAACCACAGAAAGTGGCAGAGGGAACAGGTATCCACATACTAGGAAGTGTTGGATGCAGGGGCGGACTGACCATTCAAGCACTCAGGCACTGCCCGAGGGCCCAGGGTCAGTAGGGGGCCCCATGAAATGCCCCTGGTACCATTTTATAGGCTTTTTTGGGTGTGCTTTGAGTGTGGGCAAGGTCACAGGGGCCCCATGATCCCCTATTGCCTGGGGGCACCATGAGTTGTCAGTCAGCCCCTGGTTGGATGCCTTCATCAGCCAGGATCAGCAATGTGGCAGAGTATTAACGCGGGCTTCTGGAAAGGTAGGTATACAGCGTCTTCTTCTACAGGCCGGGAGTATAAGGGAGTATAATGAGTGGTGACATTAGGGAAATATAAAGGAGTATGTTATAGGGCATAGGTGTCAAACTCAACTTCATAGTAGGCCGCATCAGCCTTATGGTTGTCCTCAAGGAGCAGGTTGTATCTTTAAGACTAGATGTGCAGAGCATCCCCCCCCCCTCTTGTATCAATGTCAAGATCCCTCCCATCATCAGAAGTCAAGTCCCCCACCCTCCCTTATAGTGCACTTCCCTTACCTTGTGAAGCTGGGGGCAGGAAGTGCAAGGTCTGCAGGTGCACGGAAAAGTGCAGAATCTGACGGAGGAATTCTGTCCTTTCTACTGTGAACTGCTGAGATAAGTTGGGTGTGGAGACTAAGAGGGTGCTGCAGCTACAGGAGTGGTGCGAGGGCCACATGAAATGGCCTGGAGGGTCGAATTCGGCCTGTGGGCCTTGTGTTTTTCACGTATTATAGGTAATCTAGGAGATGTATATGGTTACATAATGAAAATATATTTGGGAGCAATATATGATGACATGGGGGAAGAATTATATGACATGGGGGTGCATTATATGAGCGTAGAGTGTCTGTTCTTATTTGGTATATATGAACACAGTAGTGTTTTAATGTTCCCATCCTAGAAAGCATAAGATCAATATCAGATTCCCATCAATGTGAACCACACTGAACTAAAGTGTGAACTAAATACATAGATGAAATAGATATATGAGACTTGTTACTTGCTGAAGAATTTGTACTTTTGTCCATCCAGTCCTGAGATTTATACAGTTGTTCCTTAGAGCGCATCCCTTTCTGAGAGTACTAGAGACTGGATTTTTCTTTGCTGCAGTTATGTAACACTTATAGGACTTGTTCCTTCCCTACCCCATGACTGGACAGTGAAAGAAGCAGCAGCACACTGATGAGCTCATTTCCTTGTCACTCCTCTCCTACCCTCAGCATTCTTCTTGCACTGCAACACACCTAATTGGCTTCTTGTACTTCTGCTTCTCCCCCACGCCCTCTCTCTGAGGCCAGGTCATCCTGAACCCCAGCCTATTGAGAATCCACACACATAAAATCTAATGAGAGCACCAAACAAAGAATTCAAGGTAATTTAATGATTGATTCATCGCAGGATAAAGCCAACGGGTATCAGGGGCCAAACACACTCCCATCACAAGAATTTTGACTGTGCTTAAATGGACTCAGGTGAGCAGAGACCCTATTTGTTCTTGTGTTTCCACCCTCTGCCTGTGACTGGACAGTGAAAGGAGAAGCAGCACATTGATGAGCTCATCTCTTAACCTCCCTAGCGGTCTGATTATGTCCATATATTTCTGTGCTCAAAGCGGTACATTTTTTTGCATGGAAATATTTATTTTTTTTATTGTAGGCCTGTCATTTTTAGGAATAACTCACTGAAATCTGTCCGAACAAGAGTCTAGTAAACATCCCGGGTAGAATAAAACTTGAAATACGAAATCATAAATTATAATCTAATAAATAATCAAAAAAAATAATAATATAATAATAATAATAAATTTAATTCAATAATATAATCAAACCAAAAACAGTGAAATTTGAAAAATATAGCGCCAAGTTCGCACATCACTGAGCAAAGTCGCAAAATCGTTTTCAGTGTCTGATGACGAATTTCCCCACGAATCATTATCACTCAATTCTGCAAGTGGTTCTAATTTACTATCGCTGTTCTCTAGCTGGTCTAAAATCACTTTTGACCTCAAGGTTTTTGGACGCCATGGACTTTTCTCAGTTTCCAGAAAGAACAGTAAAAATGCAGGCAGGGCACAGGACAAAGCAGTAGGGACAAAATGTATGTGAAATGGTTTGATACAGTAATGTTTTACTATGTTATTTTAGTGATTTTAGTGAATGTCACTTTTTGTCATTTTCAAATTTCCGCCAGTTCCGTCCCCTGTACGTCCCGACACTCGCAGGGGACGGAACCCAGATGACAGATGCTGGCATCCGCCGGGTTACATTGCCGGAGACACTGCAGGGGGGATATCGCGGGAGCGCGGGATCGAGGGATCACGGAGCAACACCGCATGGTAAGCCCGAGTGTAGCTTGGGGTTACCGCTTGTGGTACTGAAACTTTACCCCGAGCTACACTCGGGAATACCGCCAGGGAGGGTAATCACTCTGAGCTGTCTTCCTATCAGCGTGCTTGTTGTCAGTACATGAATTGAACTTGAACTGCTTCTTCTGCTCACATTCCAGCACGTTGTACAGGGACTGCTGTAAGCTGATACTAAATCAGATTCAGGTACACATGGCTTGCATTACAAACATACATTTAATGGTGTATTACTGAATACAGAGCAGCATGAATTTCTATTTTATATCTGCCTGGAGTTCAGCTTTAAACAATTTGTCACAATAACATTTCAGCACAGCACAGGGTGGACATTTCTAGATTTGCATTTTAGCAGCATTGTTAGTTTGGTCAATTTTTTATATGATTTTTATTTAATCCTAATTACAAAATGACAAAAAAAATGCACATATTGCAAAGATACCTTACACCTTAAGATGCATTGAATGCAAAGCACCTTCCTCGTGATGTATTGCTGCAATAAGTAATGTTTTATCCTCACATGCTTATATTTTACAGGCAAACCAATTGCCTCTTCTAGCGCTCACGGTTTTGCCCACAATAAAAGTCATTTGCCTGAAAGCGATGCACAAATTGCGCATTGTTCTCCTTGTCAGCCCTCCCAATGCAGGCAGGATTTATGGCGGTGAGGTGACATATTTCAGGCTTTTATTTTCTGAATACTGAGCAGGGCCATACATCTCAAATCGCGATGAAGAGAAAAGATCCTTTCTAGCTCAGCAAATGAGTCCAGGAATAGGAGCTCGGAATTTGCACAGTGTTTTCTGTTGTTTGGTAAATGAGCTCAGGTTGCCGTGTTCTGTCACAACAAGAGAATTATTTATCATACTTTTCCAGCTATAACGAAAGGCCACAACCTCAGTAAAAATAGCAATAGATTTATGAGGCACAATTATACTACGAATTGGAGTTCTCATTGCATTTGGTGGGCAATTCTTTCACATTTAGAGTTGACACAGTAGTCTAACATCTACAACTTTACATAAGTTAAAAAGGAACGCCAAAGATAAAGTATCAGTAGAACTCCAGCCAAAAATAAGATAAAAGTGGATAACTCTATAAAAAATAAAATAAAAAAAAGCAATATTTGATGCAATATTCACCTTGAATCCAGAGACGTCCCCTGCAAAACCTTTTTCTGCCGCTAGATGTCTTCAGTCTGATGGCCACCATCATTGAACCCATTTTCTCTGAGCTTAGGTCATCCTGAACCTGCCCCAGTCTGTGATTGGACAATGAAAGAAGAACCAGTACAGTCATGAGCTCATTTATATGTCACTCTGCTTTCTCCTCCTATCAGAATGCTCCTTATCAGCACACAAGCTCCTTGGTTCCTTGTGCTGTTTCTTCCTCTCACACTCCAACCCTACTGTACACAGAGGCTGATATTGAGCTCCTGCCAGCTTGGATGAGCTCCGCAGCTGCAACAGTAAAGAAAGGGAACACTGCAAGTGCTGCCCTTTCGAAAAGGACAATGCTAACTCCTGTATGGCTAGGGGGCAATTGTCCTAATAGCTGCTCTGTCATAGTAATAAGACACAATAGAACCATGAAAACCATTCACGATTTTACCAGTAATTTTCTGTGAAAGTGGACTACAGTTTGGTTAGCAGAACAGAGGTTAAAGCTGGCAATACATTAGAAGACTTCCGAATAAATGTTCATACAAACACTTATATGAAAATTCTGATCAGTACATTCAATGACTTAATGAATGTAATTCAAAAGCATTTAAAATTTGTATTTACTTTTAACTTTCAATTTTGGAACCAATAGACTTTACTGAACAAAAACCACATACACTGGTAGAAATGTATTTGTTCAAGAAAATTGCCCATCTTGCCTTAGAATTTTCTCATCATTGCAGTTAAAAGTGAACGTTGATTTGACCTCACTAATGTTTAGAAAATATAATAAATGTCCTGAAAACTACAGAAATTCTACTAGTGTAAGACCAGCTATAGTTTTGAAATCTTATTTGTATATGGTGATGCAATTGTATATAATGACTGATTAAAGAATTTTTTAAAAAGGTGAACTTACTCTTTAGGTTACGTATTGCTATATGTTGGATAATCCTCTAGAACATCGGTCTCCAAACGACGGGCTGTGGGCTGGATGCATAGCATAATTCCTGCCACTGACACCAACCATGCTGCACTTTCCATTCCATCCCACTTTCCAACCCATTGATACAAATGATACGGCACTATTCCTCCAACTAATAACAATGATGGGACACTTTTCCTCTAACTAATACAAATGATGGGGCACTATTCCTCACCAACTAATAGCAATGATGGAGCAGTATTCCTCCAACTAATACCAATGATGGGGCACTATTCCTCCAACTAATACCAATGATGGGGCAGTATTCCTCCAACTATTACCAATGATGGGGCATTATTCATCTCATACAGATAATGGGGCACTGTTCCTCTAACTAATACAAATGAATGGGGCACTATTCCTCTAACTAATACCAATGATGGGGCACTATTCCTCCAACTAATACCAAGGATAGGGCATTATTCATCTCATACAGATAATGGGGCACTGTTCCTCTAACTAATACGAATGATGGGGCACTATTCCTCCAACTAATACCAATGATTGGGCACTATTTCTGCGACTAATTCCAATGATGGGGCACTATTCCTTCAGCTAATACCAATGATGGGGCACTTTTCCACTAACTAATGCAAATTATGGGGCGCTATTCCTCCAACTAATACCAATAATGGGGCACTATCCTCCTCTGGGACACTATTAAACTAATACCAATGATGGGGCAGTATTCCTCCAACTAATACCAATAATGGGGCACTAGTTCTCCAACTAATACCAAAGATGGAGCAGTATTCCTTCACCTAATACCAATGATGGGGCACTTTTCCTCCAACTAATACCAATGATGGGGCATTATTCCTTCAACTAATACCTATGATGGGGCACTATTTCTTCAACTAATACCGATGATGGGGCACTATTCTTTCACCTAATACCAATGATGGGACACTATTCCTCCAACTAATGCCAATGATCGGTCACTAGTTCTTCATTGAATACAAATGATGGGACACTTTTCCTTCAACTAATACCAACGATGGGACACTATTCCTTCAACTAATACCAACTATGGGGCACTATTTCTTTACCTAGTATGAATAATGGGTCACTATTCCTCCAATAAATACCAATGATGGGTCACTATGTCTTCAACTAATATCAATAATGGGGCACTATTTCTTCAATTTATACCAATGATGGGACATGATTCCTTCACCTAATATGAATGATAGGCACTATTCCTTTAACTAATATGAATGATGGGGCACTATTCCTCCAACTAACACCAATTATGGGCGCTATTCCTTCAACTAATACCTATGATTATGCACTAATCCTTCAACTTATATCAATAATGAGACATTATTCCTCCTCCTACTGACCTGTGCTATGTAACTGTTTTACTCACACTGACCACCAAACCTGAAGCATTGTTTACTTCCATTAAGGACATTTTCTACTCCCACTGGCCACAGTCTGGCCCCCTAAAGTCTGAAGGAAAGTAAATTGGTCCTTCGTTTTGAAAGTTTGGAGACCCCTGCTCAAGAAAATAAGCAATAAATTCTTCATTTGCTGCTATTGTTTTTCACTGCCCAGTGTTAGGCTTTTAAGTCCCTGGGAATAAAAAGAAGTTCTTAGTTATTCTGAGTAGCAGGCAGTCAAGGTGTCTGCATGCAGGCTTTGTATCCCCATAGAGTGCCTGTGGGCTCTGAAATGCTATCACCAACCAGCATCAGTGGCTGCCATTCTGGCCCCTGGCTGATGCCTGTAGTTATTGATTGTTCGGTACAGTGATGAGCCAGTAGTAGGGGATATATATTTGCTTTAAATATAGTCAGGTTAGCTAAAGTTAACAATTTATTTCTGTCATAGACCTGCAACAATTCATTTACTAAATCTTACAAATTAATTTAAGGTTTTGGATTTTGCATTTTTTATTATGTTAATAGTAAAACATTTTATCTTTTTTTTAACTGATAAATTACAAATATTAGATATGATTGTTTCAAATGTACAACTTGTAGTAGCAACAACTTCATCAAGCTCATTTTATATCTCTGTTGTGAAACGGACCTGGAGAGCAGGAAAGATCAGATTACACACACTGATGAGTGAATCACTCTGAAAAGACAGCACCATTCCCTCTTTTGTAGAAGAGACCACACCATCTGGCAGACTTGGTTATATGAAGGGTTGCTGTGTGCTTTGCAAACTGAGCGTTATGAATGCATTTTTGTATTGTTTTATGTTTTTTTTGATAATTTCAAAGTGGAATATAAAACATTTACAAACCTATAAAGTGTTACAATGTTAACATACAATTAACCACAAATCACTGGTTTGGTGGGATCTGGGTCTGACACAAGCAAGACATATAGGGGTTGATTTACTAAAACTGGAGAGTGCAAAATCTGGTGCAGCTGTACATGGTAGCCAATCAGCTTCTAACTTCAGCTTGTTCAATTAAGCTTTGACAAAAAAAACTGGAAGCTGATTGGTTGCTATACAAAGCTGCACCAAATGTTGCATTTTCCAGTGTAGGAAATCAACCCCAAAGTGTATCTCCATTAAAACTTTGTCAATTTTGGATAAAGCAGGGAAGGATAACATACTCCCATCTTGGTCACTGTTGATTTGCTATAGGCTGTTCAAAGTGAATTTTCACTGCATAAGGGAACTTTCGCCTTGCTTAATGAATGATGTAAAAAGTTCTGCTGACTTTCATCATCCAATCATGTGCAAGTAAAAATAAGTTTTGTTGGTGTTGTTTTTTTTTAATAATTTACCTTGCACCTGATTGGGTATTCTTTACAAAAACTGAGTTTTCATCGCATTCACATAGCTGACAATTCTCTTGCAAAGTGAAAATTCACTTAGGAAAATGAATCCTCTAATCCTCCGCTAATACAACCCCTGGCAAAACGTATGGAATCACCACTCTTGGAAAATG